ACCTGTACCTCCAAAGTCTTCCTATCTTTCTCCATACTAGTTCCAAAGCTGGTTTTCAGGCATTTGTTATAGCTGCAGGCTTACTTCTCAGTGTGGAAGGAATGCAAGATAGTTCTAGGGTCCAGCATTTAAAGAGGGGTATATGCAGAGCCTATGAATACTGGAGACCCTTGACTAGAAGCCAAGAAGAAGGCATGGTAAATGAGGAAGAGTAAGATAGAGTATAGAGATTAGAAGGGCAAAGATGGCTTCTACAAGAGCAATTTCTGCATAAACATGAGGGAGGAGGGAGCATGTGGAGGTGGACAGCAGAGTGGGAAATGAGGAAACCTAGCACATAAAGAGATGAGGACAGGCAGAGGCTCTGGGAGCTAAGGAGTGGAAGCAGAAGAGTTGCTTTGAAGGAGAGTGGAGAATGTTTATAAGTTAGAATTGAGAAGCCAGGTGTGGTGGTACATTCCTGTAATCCCAGTCTTGGGGAGACTGAGAAGGAGGATCACAAGTTCAGGACTAGCCAGGGGTACATAGTAAGACCTTGTCTCAAAAAAACCCCCAAACACAAAAAATAAATAAAAAAACCATCATACCATAAAAAACGGAAGGAATGAGATAAAACACAGAGAAAAGGGATGGGATCATTGACCAGAATTGATTCTGGGAAGGTATTAGGGCTGGATGAGTGTTCATGTGGAGGAATTTGGGAGAGGAATAGTATATGAGTTTTTTTTTTTTTTTTTTTTCTGTTGTCAGTGTAGGGCTTGAACTCAGGGCCTGGGCTCTGTCCCTCAGCTCTTCAGCTCAAGGCCAGTGCTCTACCACTTGAGCTACAGAGCCACTTCCAGTTTTCTGGTGGTTTATTGGAGATAAGAGTCTCACAGACTTTTCCTGCCCAGGCTGGCTTTGAACCGTGATCCTCCGATCTCAGCCTCCTGAGTAGCTAGGATTTCAGGCGTGATCTACCTGGGGCTCTGGTTTATGAGTCTTAACAGGCGCATGTGTGTTGTGATCTACTTATTTGCCCGTTGGTGCAGCAGGTCAAGGCTGGGTGCTTGCTGCATATTGTACTGTGACATGGGGGCAGTCCAGCATGAAATGTGGCTCTTGCTCCATTGGGCCTCACCTCCTCACCTGGTGTCCCTAGTTCTGCCCTTGGGCAAGTCCCCTGGTAGGACTCACCAGATAACTTAGCCAGGGACACCTTGATTCTGGGCAAAGTATCGGGAGTTTTCCTTCCTGTCTGGAGTCAGCTTTCCTTGCAAGTTGTGTGAGCCGGTCTCCTTCGTAGCTGCTTTTAGGGAGAAGTTGCTGAACCTTGAACAATGGATGGAGCAGATATGGGCAGTAGAACCCAGGTACTCTGCTGTGACTTTTCTCCTGCCCTTTGTACGCAGGAGCTGGGTCAAGCATGTGGGACTGCTAGTGGGGGAGAAGGCCACAGGTTGTTCTTTTCCTTCCTTTTCTCTCTCACTCTTTTTCCCTCCCTCCCTCCCTCCCTCCCTCCCTCCCTCCCTCCCTTCCTTCCTTCCTTCCTTCTTTCATCGGTTGTGGGGCCTGAACTCTGGGCCTGGGCGCTGTCCCTCAGCTCTTCAGCTCAAGGCTAGCACCCTACCACTTGAGCCACAGTGCCACTTCAGGCTGTTTTCTGCTTATGTGGTGCTGAGGAATGGAACCCAGGGCTTCATGCATGCAAGGCAAGCACTCTACCACGGAGCCACCTTCCCAGCCCTACAGGTTGTTCTTGTAATAACCCAAGAAGTGCTATACAGTTGGACCGCCCCGGCATGGCACAATCTTCTTGGTTTGGCCCAACGAGGGACAGGGATACACCCATTAAATCCCTGATTGTGCATCTTGGAGCCAACTCTTAAGACTAGCAGTCTGCTTAGCATAGCACTAGCTCCCTTTGTAAATGAAGACATGCTGATGCAGACCTGTGTTAGCAAAGAAGTCAGGGGTAGTTGTTTGGTTGCCTGAGTCTGAGCTCATCGCTCACCCTTTTCTTTTCTTTTCTTTTCTTTCTTTCTTTCCTTCTTTCCTTCCTTCCATCCTTCCCTCCTTCCTTCCTTCCTTCCTTCCTTCCTTCCTTCCTTCCTTCCTTCCTTCCTTCCTTCCTTCCTTCCTTCCTTCCTTTCTCTCTCCCTCTCCCTCTCCCTCTCTATTTTCCCATCCCGTCCTGTCCCATCCTGTCCCGTCCTGTCCCATCTCTTTTTTTTCTTTTTGGTCCAAGACTGGGACTTGAACTTGGTACCTGAAGACCTGAAGCTTTTGCTTATTGGCTAGCACTCTGCCAGCTGATCCACACTTTCAACACCAAAGGGTTGCTTATTTATTTTTTGGTCCCAGACTGGGTCTTAACTGTCAAAAATCTCTTCCCTCAAAGCTGGGGCTAGAATGAGGCTTAGTAGTTGTCTTTAAATTACTGTATGCCATATTTTCCATTTTGGTTGATGTTAGAATTACAGAAGAGGTAGTTTTTGTTGTTTTGCTTTTTACTGTTGGTGTTTGAATCTCTAATGAATAAAACACAAATCGTTTTTTAATTTTAAAAGTGTTATTTTTGACATTATAAGCCAATATTTTAATCACATGCCATTACCTTTTTAAAAAATATTCACCATTTAAAAATAATTTATTGTTCTTATAGAGGTAATGTACAGAGGGATTACAACTACACGAGTCAGGTAATGAGTACATGTCCTTAGTACAGTGTCTTCTGTCCTCATTCTCTCCTGCCCCTCCCTCCCGTCTCCGCCCACCAGTTGTGTAGCTCACTTTCATCAGTGTCCAGTGAGCTCCACTGCTGCGCTTTTTCACCCTTTCTCCCTCAAGCTCTGTGCCCTCCCCCTCCTTCCTGAAGATGTACCCGTGAATACACCATAGCTAAGGTAAAGAAGACTGAAGCGTCAAAAACTAAAAAAAAAAAGTCTTTTGTTTCCATATCTTGGAGTTTGTTTCAGTACGTACATTATTTTATATAAATAGGAAGAGGCACTTAGGCATTGTGCCTTGATGAGGGGATCAACATAGGTGGATATTTTAAAGTCCTCAAATCAATGCACTGTGCAGTCAATGTTGTGACCTACCGATGATATACAAGGAGATACAGTGAGAGGGAGGGGGGAGGAGAGTGTAGTTGATAAAGTTATGAACTGTTAGAGATGGAAAGATCTATGTTCCAAGCTTTGTTAACTCCAAGTGTGATTCCAGCTAAGCAGCAGGGCCCACAGGGAGCTGGTTAGAGCTCAACCCACATTCTTGAATCAAAATGAGCCCATCAAAGTTCAAGAAGAGAAATCTGTTTTTGAGATCACCCAGCCTAGTAGTTCTCCACCTGGCTGCACCTTAGAACTGCCTGGGGTGCTTACTCATATTCTAGGCTGGAACAGGCCAATGAACTTGACATTGCTAAGTTTATGAACCAGAAACTCCTTTAAAATACTGTTCAACCATTGTCAAGAACGCTCTCTGACAAGTGCTTAAACTTGAATGTAGCTCATATACAAATCCAGATTCTGACCTTACAATCTTCAGGGGAGCCAAAGATTTTGTACATCTTCAGGGGGTCCAAGATGTTTCACTTATAAGTAGAGCCCTTGTGCTGCCCAAGTTACTGACCCTGATAAATGTATTTGGGCCAGTAAGGATTTGTTAGACTGACTTCCCAGCCTGGCAACCCAGGGAACAGGGTCAGAGAAGGACATGGGTTGTGCGTGTTCCAGGCAGCACACTGGAGATGGAAGTTTGAACTGGGAATAGAATGGACCTAATTTTGATTCCCATAGATTTTTTTTTTTGTCGGTCATGGGGATTGAATTCTGGGCTTGAACTTTGAGCTCTTCAGCCCAAGTCTAGTGCTCTACCACTTGAGCCACAGCACCAATTCTGGTTTTCTGATAGTTTATTGGAGATAAGAATCTCATGGCCTTTCCTGCCTGAGCTGGCTTTGAACCTCGATCCTCAGATCTCAGCCTCCTGAGTAGGATTACAGGCATGAGCCACCAGTGCCCAGCTCCCCACAGAATTTCTGTTCCAATAGGTTCAGACAGAGAGCAGAGGCATAAGTAACTAAGCTAATTGCAGATCAGGAGGCAGCTTACAAAGGCAATGAGGAGAGCTCTGTAAGTGGAGAATGACTTGGAGGTTGCTGTGGGAGAGTAGAACTGTCGGGGGAGTTAACTCAAAGCAGTGGTGTGTGTGTGTGTGTGTGTGTGTGTGCGTGTGTGCGTGTGTGCGTGTGTGCGTGTGTGCGTGCGTGTGTGCGTGTGTGTGTGTGTGTGTGTGTGTGTGTGATGTGTATCTCAGTGCCAGGGTGCCACCTACTGTGAGAGGCTCAGGAAGGGGGAATCTCTGACATTTCTTTATTGAGAAGTACCATCTTCCATCCCTCCCCAGTATCTGGCCCCAGCTGGAGTCTCAGGAGATTACCAATGAGTGGAGGGAAGTGGCTAAACTCAGGGATGCTCTAGATGATGAAAAGTAGACAATCTACAGTTAGCTAAGATATGAATCATGCTCTGGTACTGTTAGCCTAACTTTCACATCAAAGCAGAGGCACTCACTTGTTTCTTGATCTGAGTTGTCCTAGGTCAAAATGTGGAATGTTGCTGAGGGGAGCCCCATAGTGAGGCTCAAGTGGGCAGGTCTTGCTTAAGACCTAATCTTTGAGAGCTGGAACCTCAGTTTCCCTTCCTTTTTTTTTTCTGGTCCTGGGGCTTGAACTCTGGGCCTGAGCACTGTCCCTGAGCTAGTGCTCTACCACTTGAGCCACAGCACCACTTCCAGCATTTTTTTTTGAATAGTTTATTGTAGATAAGAGTCTCATGTGCTTTCCCACCCAGGCTGGCTTTGAACCATGATCCTCAGATCTCAGCCTCCTGAGTAGCTAGGATTATAGTGCTTCCTGGAGGAGGAAAGGGGGGGCAGGGGAATGGCTTGCTCCAGTGCCTAGGTAGGTGTTGGTGGAGCCAACTAGACAGACACCTGGGACTCCTACCTCCTAGGTGGCCCGAGGCAGCCGGGATGACAGTTCTGCCCAGGAACCCTGCTACCTGCTGAGGAACATGATCAGCAAGTCCCGTGAGTGTGGTCCAGGGGCTTCCCCATGCTGGAGGAGGGCCTCTCCAGAAGCTGGCCTCGGCAGTACCTGGGACCCTCCGGGGTGGGGGAATGGGAGCCAGAGACCTATCTTCTTTCCAAAGGACAGCAGATCCCAGTTCCAGGAGAGGGCCAGGGACTGGGTCTGCTCTGCTGGTGGTGGAGGGCTCGGAACAGGGCAAGGGGAGAAGGTGGACTGGGGCTGTACCTGCCTGTTTCTGCCTCTAGCTCCTCTGTGCATGTGCCCTGCAGGCTGGAAGCTCCTGGCCATGCTGGCTCTGGTCCTGGTTGTCATGGTGTGGTATTCCATCTCCCGAGAAGACAGATACATTGAACTGTGAGTGCGCTTTCTGTGTCCTTCCATTGCTTCTTCTTTCTCAGAGACATGCAGGCAGAGGATCTGGTCAGACAGGGGGCCTGGCAGAGCATCAGTGTTCTGAGGGCCAGGGCCTGATCTTTTCCTCTCACAACTACTTGGCAGAGTCATTCTGTGAGGGTGGATGGGGCTAGATAAGAGAGGGTCTGGATAATTCCTCCATAAGGGGTGTGGCAGGGCAGGAAGAGTTGGTCCCTCCATGATTTGTGTTCAGAGTAGTCCTTGGACTGAGAAGATGTCACTCTACAAGTCCCTCCAGTGCCCTGGAGACTGTGTGTCATGGGGAGCTGGAGGCTGCCTGGGATGCTGGCCTTGGGATCTTAGCTCTGATGGGGCTCCCTCCTCTCTTTCTCTGTCTCCAGTTTTTATTTTCCCATCCCGGAGAAGAAGGAGCCGTGCTTTCAGGGTGAGGCAGAGAGGAAGGCCTCTAAGATCTTTGGCAAGTAAGCACATGAGGATGAGGAGGGCGGGCAGAAGGGACAGGTGATTAAGAAGTTCAGCCTCAGTGCTGGCTTGTTGGAGAGAGGGGGCCAGGCTTGTGGAAATGGTTAGGTGAGGCTGCGGAGAAAAGGAAAGGTCATGCAACATTAGCCAGAGGTTTGGCCTTCTTGTGGCATCTAGATTAATCCCCCTTTCATTCGCACCCTGTGTAGCCACTCCCGAGATCATCCCCTCTTCCTGCAGCTTAAGGACTATTTCTGGGTCAAGACACCATCTGCCTATGAGCTGCCCTACGGGACCAAGGGAAGTGGTAAGTCTGTGCCCAGTTCAGGAACGACTTCATATTGTCTACACTGTTTGTTCTTTGTCATGCGTGTCCTTCTTCCTGAAAGACAGTGGAGACACCTAGGTCCAGTGTCAAGCTAGGGATAGAGAGGGGCAGAGACGGGTCTGCTCTACTGGGGGGTGAAGGACCTAGAATGGGAAATGGGAGAAGGTGAATTGGGCCCTATGCCTCAGCCATATTCAGATATTAGGGTTAGGAGGGAAAAGGTACTGAAGGGTAAAACAAAGCAGGCAGCCTTCAGAAGGCTGATGACTTGTTTCGGTCCCTTCTGTTTGTTCTTTTTGTAGAAGACCTACTCCTCCGGGTGCTAGCTATCACCAGCTACTCCATACCTGAGAGTATCCAGAGGTAAGGAGACACTCCTACCATTCCAGTCTGGGTACCTTCTCCTTTTCCTGACTCAGGGTCAAAGCATCCTGGCCTAGTGCCATCCCAGTGAGCCTCCTAGCTACTAGTTCCCTGGGCCAATTTGACCTTCCCTCCTAACCTGCCTCTTTCCAGGGGCTACACATATGCTATTCCCCACAGCATCCTAGCCTGGGCATCCACGTGCCAGAGCATGCAGATGCTGCTGAGGAGTATCACCATGGCAACAGACAAGCCTGGGCAGCCAGCAAGAGGGCTCTGCTGTGGGGTTTCATATGGTGCTTTCTGCGCTTGATTCTTCCTTCTCCTCTTTGCTCTTCCATTCTCTACTCGATTTCTTCTCCCTTTAGGACCTAGGGCTGCAGGATTATAAACAGGACCACCTGGCCATGCCTGTTCCACAGGGACCACGGGCTAAGGGTGATGTTGAGATGGGCCCTAGGCATATCTAGTCACTGAGAGTTAGGGGCTACTGCTAGATTTGATCTTCTCTTCTCATGGCAGTCTCAAGTGCCGCCGCTGTGTGGTGGTGGGGAATGGGCACCGGCTGCGGAACAGCTCTCTGGGAGAGGCCATCAACAAGTACGACGTAGTCATCAGGTGCGTATGACTCTCCCTCCCACTTCCCTTTGGGCACTGGATACCCCAGGCAGGACCCAAGACAAGCCTGGAGGCTATTGTGATGAGCATTCTCTTCCTGCTCCAGATTGAACAATGCCCCAGTGGCTGGCTACGAGGGCGACGTGGGCTCCAAGACCACCATGCGTCTCTTCTACCCGGAGTCTGCCCATTTTGACCCTAAAGTGGAGAACAACCCAGACACGCTTCTGGTCTTGGTAGCTTTCAAGGCAATGGACTTCCACTGGATTGAAACCATTCTGAGTGACAAAAAGCGGGTAAATTGAGGGCAGGTGGGAGGAAAAGACCCAGATGTCCGGACACTGTCTGAGTCAGGATCCCCTGCACAGTGTCAGTCTCTAGTCCTAAAGAGCTGCTGAGGGGACAGCATGAATCAGACTCCCAGCAGGCAGCACCTCAGGCTTTCCTCCCAGGGCAGTGTCCTACAGGGCTGTGGATAAGCTGTCCTAGTGAGCTGACCCTGTAGCCTGCAGGGGTCAGGCAGAGGCAGCCAGAGGAGGAGCCTCCTCCCCCACAGTTGAGGGCTGCCTGGATGTGTGTAAGAAACCTGGGAGCGGAGCAGCTCTCCAGCAGTCATCCCAGGAGGTCTAGAAATAAGCTCGGCACCCTTTTTGTGCCCAGAAAGAGCCTGCCCCATCTGGTCCAAGGCTGAATTTTCCCATCTGGAGGTTTGGTGTGGGGGTTTTGTTTTTTGTTTTTTGCCAGTTTAAAACTTGGGCCTCTACTTCCTTGCCTGGAAATTCTGGAAGTGGGCAATGGTTCGACCCCACACTCTAATCTTATCACCTGGACTCTGAGGGGTGCCCCTGCCTTCTTTCTCTCTCCCCCACTTCTCTTTTTTCTCTCTCCCTCTCTCTCTCCCTCTTCCTCTCCCTTACCCTCATTCTTTCCTAGGGTCCCCTTCTTTGTCTGAAGATCATTGACCTGTTTAGATAAAAGAAACAAATCTTCACCCATTATTTTCTCTCTCCATTCCAATTCTTCCCTCTAGGTGCGAAAAGGTTTCTGGAAACAGCCTCCCCTCATCTGGGATGTCAACCCCAAACAGGTGCGGATTCTCAACCCCTTCTTCATGGAGATTGCAGCTGACAAGCTCCTGAGCCTGCCCCTACAACAACCACGCAAAATCAAACAGGTGATGGGCTACTGACAGGAACGCCAGGCCTGGGGGGTGGGGGGCCTTGGGTAAGAAGCTGTGGAGGAACCCTTGAAGTGGGGGCAGATAAGAGATAGCAAGTCACTCTTGACCTTCAGGAATGCACCTGTAATCAAAGGTAGGTTGATTAACCAGCTGTAGGGAGAGAGAGTGAACACATACTTCAGGGAACCACTGGACAGCTTCAGAGTGGGAATGAGTGAAAGGTCTCTATTAGAGTTTAAGAGCTGGACTTAGAGGATGGCTTTGGCAGACACTGGACAGTCTCTATAAACTGGGAGCTGCTGGAACATTCCCTGTCCTATCTTTGGAACAGTGTGAGTCTGTGCAGTTACTATTAACTATGTAGTCTGTGTTCTTATCTTGGGACATATTGATCTAGTTAGGTTAGAAGAGTCTCAGCTTCAATAGTTGGCTTTGTATGTCATGGTTTGGAATGGTGTGCCAGTTTTTGGAGGCATGGTAGTTCTGTGTCATGGCTTTGAGTTCTCAGTGCCCCAGTGGTCTTCAGTTGGTGTATGTTAAGCTTTGTTGTGGCTTCCTAAATATTTCTCTACATGTCTTAGATAGGATAGGGACAGGAAGGGGGTAAATCAACAGGCACAAATAGGACTCTTTTTAATTTTTTGTATTATTCTTATAAAGGTGATGTATGATGTATAGAAGGGTTTCAGTTATATAAATCAGGTAAAGAATACTCTGTCTCTCTGTCTCTGTCTCTGTCTCTCTCTCCCTCTCCTCTCTCCTCTCTCTCTCTCTTCTCTTTCCTCTCTCTCCCCTCTCTCTGTGTCATGGAGCTTGAACTCAAGACCTGGGTGCTATCCCTGAGCTTTTTCACTGAAAGTTAGGGTTCTACTACTTTGATCCACAGTGCCACTTCTGATTTTCTGGTGGTTTGTTGGATATAAGCCTCTCATGGACTTTCCTGACTGGGCTGGCTTTGAACCATGATCCTCATATTTCAGCCTCCTGAGTAGCTAGGATTACAGGCATGAGCCTTTGGCACCCAGATAAAGAGTACATTTCTTTTTGGACAATGTCACCCCTTCCCTCACTCTCTCCCAGTTTTTCCCTCCCATTCCTACCCACAAGTTGTTTAGCTCATTTTCAACATAGTGTCTAGTGAGCACCACTACTGCATTTGTTTACTCTTTCTCTGTACTACTTACTATGTATGGTGAGGATAATATTAGTACTGACCTTTTAAGGCCATTGTAGAATCAAGAAGATACTTAATTATGTATAATGTCAATCATGGATATGGAACATAGTGTCCTCTCAATCAGTGTCTGCCAAGTTTTGAGTAAATGATTTTATTCTTGAATGTTTGCTGTTACTCGACATTGCCTGTTGGATACCTGCTCAATGCCAGACTCAGCGCCTGCAGCCTCCACAGGTGAGGCATGCTCCTTGCCCCAAGGAGACTCAGTCTAGTAGAAGCTTTCAGGTAGCACTGTGGGGTGATAGAGTTGTTCTAAGTGTGGAGGGAACTGGGGACAGTCAGATTTCTGCTGAACTAGCTGGGTGTGGTTGGCTTCCCAGAATAAGGGGTACTGGGGTTGTGCCTGGAAGAATTATGATGGGAAAAGCATTTCATTTGGCAAGGCCAAACAGTAATTCCAGCACTAAGTTGCTTTAGCTTAGTTAAGGGGCAACAGGAGATCTTTTTATGCCATGGATGAGGTATAAAGATGGTGTAAAGGCTGGAGAGGGAGTTAAGAGGAGGCAAGGACCTGAATCCAGCCCTTGGCAGTGGGGAAGGAAAAAGGGGAGAAGGTAATAGACTTGACATTGTATTCATGTTCTACTGTTGCCTAATTACTGCAAGCTCAGTGACCTAAAACAATATTCACACATTTTCTTATAGTCCTGTCTTTGTTTGGAAGTATTACAAGGCTGAATACAAGAACTGAGTTTTTGTCTGAAGGCTCTGGAGAAAACTTCACTTCTAAGCTTATTCTTACTGATAAGAGAATTGGATTCCTCCGGGTGTAGAAGTGAGGTCCTTGTGTCCTTGCTGGCATGGGCTGGGTAAGGGGGCATCTTTGGCTTGTGGTGTGGCTCCTCCATCTTCAGGCCAGAAACAGCAGGATAAATCTTCCTTATGCTTCAAGTATCTGTCTTTCTCCCTCTCTGATCATGACACCCAGATTTAGAGGTTCAAGTGATTAGATTAGGGGTAGTCTTTCTACTTATGAACAAAGGTGCCATATGAAGTGAAATTTTATAGTGAAATATATTTACCCTGTTGGGTTCCATATGCCTAGGAGGAGAACAGATTATGCAAGAGTGAGGGCCACTGGGGTCCTCTTATAATTGTGCCTCCTACAACCGCTGTGTTATGGGTAGAAATGGGAAGTTCATATTCTGATATATAAGGACACATGGGATATAGTTAACTCTGAGAATAAATGGAGAATCCATCAACACAGAAAATGAAAAACAATACTGAGCTGGGTGCTGGTGGCTCACACCTATAATCCTATCTACTCAGGAGGCTGAGATCTGAGGTTCAAAGCCAGCCCCGGCAGGAAAATCCATGAGACTCTTATCTCCAGTAAACCACCAGAAAATGGGAAGTGGTGCTGTGGTTCAAGTGGTAGAGCTCTGGCCTTGAGCTGAAATGCTGAGGGACAGCGCCCAGGCCCAGAGTTCAGGCCCCATGACGACCCTCCTCCCCCCTAAAGAAAAAGAATTGAGAAGTTTATGAGCAATACTAGATTTCTAGCTTGGACAGTGGGGTAGGTGGTGTTATAGTTATCTACTACGAAGAACGTAGGGAGGGAGTGTGAGGAGTGCACCCACGCAGAGCCGGCTAGGAGGTGATGGCAGTGAGGTTTTGCAAGTGGCCCAGACTGGATGAGAGTGCACTGGGCTGTTAAAGCTACAAGGGTAAGGAAAAGTGCCTGTGAGGGGGTAGAAACGAGACATCAGGAATGCCAGGAAAAAGCTGGTTTAAGAGGCCTGGCTGAGTCTTGGAAGTGGTTCCCAAATGGGAGCAGACAGATGATAATGTTCTCTAAAAGCTGGTTATTGAAGCTGAGGAAGTCAAGATTTGTGAAGTTTATTTATCAGGTTGCCCATCCCTGTGGCTAAGGCAGGCGTGGAGGAAGTGGGGTCTTTAGAGTACAGTAAAGGTGGGAAAGGGATTGTCAGCCCCACTTTACAGACCAGAGCCCATCCATGAAGGATTAGGTGGCACTGAGTATATGATTGTCTGATTGAGAGTCCCCCACCCTGCCCCGCTTTGGAAGAGGACAGATACCTTCTCTTCTTTGAGAAAATGGCTTAATATTCAAAAGCCGCAGTTTCCCCAGTGGAGCTAGTGGTAATGTCTGCCTGTGTTTTGGAGAGGGATAGATGTGATGATGTATCATACTATGTTAAGATTTAATGCGGTGTCTGACACGTACTCCAAAAGCAACAGGTAGCATTAAGATGGTAATATTTCCTGTACTGGATGTTGTTTTTTTCACTAGAACCCCAGACCTTCCCCAAGATGTTTAAAGTTGTAAGATCTAGTGTGGAAGCTATTGTTAGTCAGACTTCTGTTGCTGTGGCAGAGTGCCTGACGTGAACAACTTAAGAGAGGAAGGATTTAATTTGGCTCTGGTTTCAGTGATGTCAGCTCATCATGTTGGAGAAGACACATTAGAGTAGAGCAGTTCACCTCATGGTGGTCAGGAAGCAAAGGAGGGGGGGGGGAGAGAGAATGCTTCTACTAGTGGGTTTTCTCCTTTTTCCCCTTTATTCCTTCTAGGCCCCAAGCCTAAATGTGCTGCCCACATTTGTGGCAAGTCTCACCACTTGGTTAAACCTCTCTGGAAATATCCTCCCAGATATACCCAGAGCTTTACTTGTCTCCTATCTGCAACTCACTTCTCAGCCCAGTCATGTTGGTCATCAAGATTAATCTCACAGTACCCACTAGCCACATGTGGTTATTTAAATTTAAAACTTAATTAGGGTTGGTGGTATAGCCCAGTGATAGAGAATTCACCTAGAACGCAAGAGGCCCTGGGTGTCACCCTTGGCTCTGCAAACAAATAAATTAAAATTTCAAAGAACAAAAACTCAGTTCCTCTGCTGCACTCAGCTGCCCCCATATGCTCAGTTGGCCTAAGGCATCCCTGTTGGATCATGCAGGTAAGGGACATTTCCGTGACTATGGAAGGCTCTGAGCTCCAGCTACAGAACACAGGCCCAGAAGACAGGCAAAGAGCAGGATTCCTTTTAATACCCTCCTACCTTTTGTCCCTCAGAAGCCGACCACAGGCTTATTGGCCATCACCCTGGCCCTCCATCTCTGTGATTTGGTGCACATTGCTGGCTTTGGCTACCCAGATGCCTACAACAAGAAGCAGACTATTCACTACTATGAACAGATCACGCTCAAGTCCATGGCGGTAAGTGGTCCTGCTTAGGAGTTCCCTAGGCCAGATAGGTCTAGGGGTCAGGTAACCAGAGGTGCAGGGGCCCAGAAGCTGCTCGCAGTAGGGTCATTCAGAGTCAGAACTGGCACTGAGGCATCCTCTATATTTGGCCACATAGTTTGTTTTCATCCTAGAGCGGACACAGGAAAGAGACCTCCCAAGAGATATGGGGCCATGGGGAGGGGCAGAGAGACTTTGCTGAGGCAAAAAAGTCCCTAAGAGCCCCTGAGTTTACTTTCTCGGCTGTATCCACAGGGGTCAGGCCACAATGTCTCCCAAGAGGCCTTGGCTATCAAGCGGATGCTGGAAATCGGAGCGGTCAAGAACCTCACATACTTCTGACTCGGCAAGACCTAAACCTGTGGGTTGCCCATTGTGCTGCCTGGATGATCCCCATCTGCGGTGTGGGTGCTTTGTGCCAGCACTACCCACTTACACTCACCCTCCACTGAGGGGGAGGGCGTCGCAGACTGGCCAGATCTGAAATGAGGCCATGCCCCTGGCTGCTCATGTGGGGCCCGGATCCAGCCAGGGTAGAGGCACTGAGGCCTCAGAGCCCGGCCAAGGCAGAGGACTTGTTGCCAAGGCAAATGCTCTCTGCCAGCACCGAGAGATTATTTAATGGGCTATTTAATTAAGGGGTAGGAATGTGCTGTGGGCTGGTCCCATGGCATCTAGAAAAGGGGCACGGTACAGTGTTCTGCCCACTTTTTATAAAAACTTCCATGTGATGGGCAAACTAAGGCCCAGACCCCGAGCTAGCCTCCCAGGAGGGTGGAGGCATTGGGAATTGGTATGTGTCCTCCAGAGAGGGGCTGCTACCTCCCAGCAGGCATGGGAAGAGCACTGGGAAGGGGGTTCCACCAAGATGGGGACCTCAGCTTGAAGAGAGGTTTCAAACCTACCATTAAAATATTTTTTCCTAAAACGGAAGCAGTTACGAGGCTTGTATTCTTTCAGGTTGGGGAGGATCTCGTTGGGGCATGACAGCACGAAGGCTTGATGGACCAGAGCAGGACATAGTCATTTGGGGAGTCATTATTACAGAGATGGTGCTTGGTGTTTAGTTGTGAATTACTACCTTTGCAAAGCAAGCAAGCAAGCTTTGTCTGGAGTAGCCCTGTCTGTGGGCACCCAACCTGGCATCCTGTATCCTGGTACATTTCTCAGGGGAGGATAGAGGAGGCCAGATGGGGGTGACTTCCTCTGAGAACCCTTTTCCATCTTCCTTCCTTTCCCTCATTCTTTAATTAGCGAAACTGTACTCTGGGAGGTGCATATATTAAGGATGGGGTGGAGTCAGACAGAGCTGGCTCTGCTCCCACACTAAGTGGGAATTAAAATGGAGCCCATGAAAGTCCTGCCAGCAGCACAGGCGCCAGAATTGGGGTGAGCAGGGTGGAGGACATTGCTGGAGGGATTTGGCAAGGTCTCTCGGCCAGTCACCAGGCCAGGGGATGCGATTGCCCCAAGTCCCTAGAATCCTAACAGCCCTGTCGTTTGCCTGCATCTCCAGCCTTTGTTCTCCATCCTCCAGGCCCTGCTTCACTGCCAACTGGGCCTCTTGCCACCCCCACAGCTGTTCCTTTACATCTGGAGCCAGGAGGGAGTGTTGGAACTGCCCCGAGGGATTAGAACTCACAGCTGTGTTCCTGGCTTTCTCGGAAAGCGCTATAGTCTTGAGGTTTTGAGACAAGCCAGGCTAGGACAGGACTGATATGGAGGGGCAGCACAGGCGATGACACAGTTCTTGGCAGTGTTGGAACTGCTTAGAGAACAACCAACCCAATACTGCAGAGCACTCCTGAGAACCAGCCCAGGCAGTGGAATTGCCCACAGTCTAACAAGCCTGGCAGCTTTGCTAGCTGCCCTTGCCTTAGAGCACAGGGGGAGTCTGGAAGGCAAAAGGGCCTTAGTGTCTATACCTCAAATTCCCCCCACTCTACTCACATGGACAAGCTGTCTTCCAGGCCTTGTCCTGAGGAGAGACCTTGCTGACCTCAACAGGGGTTGTGAGTGTGTGTGAGAATCTCAGCTCTGGTTATTTCTGCCTGCCTCTCGTGAGAGTCCGCAAGGGAGTGTCCTTTCCCCGCCCAGAGCTGCTGAAAGGGGCTGTCTGCACACATGATCCAGCTGCCTTGGATGGAAGCCACTGTCTGATACTGAATGTGCCTAAAGTTGAGCCAGAATCCAACGCATAGGAATGGGTCAGAGCCTTCCAGCTGTAGGTGCACCGTTGTGTGCGCATGCGTACACACACACTTTCACATTCAAGTTTTATGTTCTTGTTCTTGTTGGGTGGACTGGCTTTCCTTTGTGGTGGGAGGGGGAACGGAGAGGGACAGTGGGAGAAGGACAGAACACACTCTTTGGGGCCACTGCTTGCTAGGGGCGGAGTTGGGGTGGGTATGAAAACTTTCTCCTGGGTGCACCAAACCCTGGGTAAGCTGAGGCATAGTTGGGCGAGAGTCAAAGCTGAGGATTGAGCTTTGATGTGGAGTAGCTGGATGGGGATTTTTGATATTCTGGGAAAGAGACTTTTCAGTTAGCCCAACCAATGTGAATGGACTTCCTGCCAGCCTGCCTGGTACTGATTAAACCAGGCTAGAAAAGGCAGCCGGCAGCCGGAGAGGGAAGAACGGGGGAGTCACAGGAGCGCGAGTTCTTCCACACCAGCTATCTGCCACGTGGTCCCCGCTCCGGTTCCGCGTACCACGCAGCCGTGGAGGACCACTCATCTCAGCCGCTTCCTGGGGTGATTCCGGAGTGGACGTGCTTGGGTGGTCAAGGGCTAGGGTGGGGCCCCGGAATCAGGAGTCCTAATCAGCACTCAGAACCACCGCTTTCGCAGTCTAGACTCTGATGATCTCCTGCGAGCCTCCTGCTCTGCAAGTGAGGCCCGTTCTAATCCCCGGGGCCTAGAGCGGTGTTAATTGGGCGCACGCGCAGGCTTCGCCGCGGGGGGCCGGAGGCGGAATGCGCGCATGCGTAACCCTTGGCGCCCTGCTGATCCCTGGGTGGTGGGAATTAGTGGGGACTCCGGTGGGGCTGGCTGTGCTTGGGCTGGCTTTCGGGCCTCCGCCCTAGTGCCTGCCGGGATGCCCGCCCTGCCTCCTGGGAGGCTGGCACCTTGCTGGCAGGATGCCTTGTGCCAGGCCTGGCCCGCGCTCCCACTCTCCCACGCGGAGGTGCCCGCACCCCCCCCCCCCCCTCCTGGTTGCCAGGGATCCCTGGATCTCCGCCGGGCCGGTCACTGAACTACTTTAAATTCTCAGCCGGACCTCGAGAGACCTACCCAGACTCATTTAGATTCTAGCCTCATCCATGGAGAAACTGAGGCCCCAAGACAGGACGAAAGGCACTCCCAGCCTGTGACCTTCTCCTTCGATGAGACAAGAGTTTGGATCTTTTATCCAGCGCCAGAACACACTTCAATAGTGTTTTCTAGTCACATCATATGGCATCGAGCCTTGATTTTGGACACTTCAGGTTTTTATTTACACTTTCTGAGGCCATAAGTACATTCAACTAACTTTCCTCCAGAGACTGTCTAGCCTACGAAAAGTTTGGAAACAATACTGTCTGGGAGGCAGTAAAGTGTAGTTAGAGCACACAAAATATAGATGGCTCTCCTCCCTTCCTGCTCTGTCATTTAATTAGCCAAGGAAACCTCTGGGTCTCCATCTGGAAAGTGGTCATTATGCATGCCTATCGTACAATGCAATTTTAAGGATCTAATGGGAATATGATTGTAAAGACGTTTTTGTAGACTGTGAAGTTGTTATAAATAATGGGGTTGGAAAGCTGCCTTGCGAATGGAAAATGCTGGAGAGCATATGAAACAGGTGAAGTACATTTGTAGAGCTAAACCCTTGCTCAGCTACTGAGTGAGAGTGAGTGGTTACAGAAAAGTCTCTGTCTTCAAATCACCCACAAATGAAGGGAGTAAAAAGGTGACAGTGAAATGACTAGAAGGCTAGCTTTGCATCATCAATGAACAGTGAGTTCAAACTGCTCTCCTGCAGTGGTTTTGAAATTAGACATGTTAAGGTCCTTAGAGAAAGAAGTTTCTTGGAATTCATTACCCATTTCTTTCCTCCTTTTTTTTTTTTTTTTTTTTTAAAAAAACTCATTATCCATTGCAGTGATACTGGCATACCATAGTAGGTTTCTAAACAAAGACTGAGAAATGCAACCTCAGAATTGAAACCTGCTGATTTATGTGTGGGTGTATGTGTATATGTGTGTGTATGTGTGTGTCCTGGGGCTTAAACTCAGGGTCTTAGCACAATCTCTTAGCTTTGTTGTTCAAGGCCAGCATTCTACTACTCCAGTCACAGCTCCATTTCCAGATTTTTTGGTGGTTAATTGGAGATAAGAGTCTCACAGATTTTCCTGTCCAGACTGGCTTCGAACCACAATCCTCAAATCTCAGTTTCCTGAGTAGCTAGGATTATCGGATGAGCCACCTATGCCCAGCAACCTGCTGATTTATTTTTTATTTTTTATTTTTTATTTTTTTAATTTTTTTTTAAATGAAGATGGAAAACTATTTGTTAAGTTTGAAATTCCCTGAGGTTCGGTGCAAGCTTTAATTCCAGGAAATCAAATCTTTCTAATTTAAAAGTTGAAGGAAGTGTGACAGCCTTCAACTAATAATAATTCAACTTAAAATGTTGTTGCTGTTGTTTTACTTTATAATAGTATGAAAGCAATATACATTGGGTAGAAACCATACTTTAAATTTTGGACTTTGATCATCTTCCAGGCAATACATGGCACACTATTCTCTCATTGTTCCCAGTCAGCCACATGATCATCAGGGAAAACCACTAAGACACTTATTGTTGTGGCTAGGCATGTTATTTCCACCTAAATATTGTCCATTTACAAGGAATATGTCAAGACAGAATTCCATTACAAGTTGAGGAACATTGTGTGTGTGTGTGTGTGTGTGTGTGTGTGTGTGTGCATGTGTATAGTTAATCCAGCTTTCCCATGTAGCTCCTTCCCAATGAACAAACCACAGGTTAGAGATCTTTAGGATTTTGCACCCAAGAAATAAGGTAGCGAGATAAACCTTGAGACTCAGTAGGGAACAGATTTGAGGAGCAACTCGATGTCCTGGGAAAGCACTGCTTCTTCACTTAAAGGAAAGCAGAAGGAGTGGGGAGCAACTGGTAGATTTTACTGTGCAAAAGCAAGTCAGGAGGGTTAGATAGAGTGTTTAGGGATGCTTGAACTCTGTTTCTTGTCCCCCTTGTCAGCTTCCCAGGGAAGCCTACCAATTAAAAATACACCCTGCCCCCCAACAGAAGCAAAGCTTCTTTTCTATAGCTTTGGGTATTGGAAGGGTGGAGATGATCAGAGAACTTGAGAGAAGGCCTAGATGTTGAAACAACCCTAGGAGGCCAAAGTTAGAATGACTGAATTGGGCTATTT